TTATCATGGGGAAAGAATAAAAAAGTCCTACCCAGAGAGGAAAAGGAGGGGGACATATACCACAGAGGAGATGTCAAGGAGAATAAGTATAAGACAAGGTCATGTGTGACCTTCAAGAAACAATCATGTAAGTAAGAATATCCATTCACTCATTTATTCATTCACAGATCATCTATGGCCCATCAGAGGTGCCAGGCACTGTTAGGTGCTGGGGGTTATAGAATAGAAGAGATGTGAAGCCTATCATGGACCACACTGCTTAGTGACTAGCAAGCGAGATCAACAGCATGATCAGTGCTGTGGGGAAGCATTAACACAGCACTTAGTGGGAATACAGACGTCAGCCCGTGATGATGTGGTTGGAGTGGGGTCACAGCAGACATCCGTATGGAGAGGGCATTTAATCAAAATGATGATCACATCTTTTTTGTTTGTTTGTTTTTTGATTGAAGGGGAAAGGAGGGAAAATGATGATCACATCTAAACGTGGTATTCTATTTTGAAACTAACCAGTGAGTATCCAGGTCAGTGTTTCTCAGACATTAGTGTGCATCAAAACCCTTTAGAGGGATTATTCAAGCACTTTTGGATTCAGTGGATCTGGGGTAGGGGTCTGATAATTTGTCTTTCTGACTTAGTCCCAGGCAACGCAGATATTGTTAATCTGGAGACTATTCTTTGAGGATTACTGATCTACATGGTTAAATTAAGAGTTCTGTTAGATGGTGTTTCTAGAAGCACAATTTAAAGTAGGTGTGCAGGGCTGCGGGAGTGTGCGGGGCTGCAGGTGGGAAAGGGGTACTGTTTCGCTGCTCTGCACCCAGCAGAGCTGGCACCCACCTGCCTGTGGTGTCTTGCCTTCCCTGGAGCATCCTCTCTGTGACCCCGAAAGGATGCTTGGTGGAACGAGGAAGACCTGGCTGTATTTTTGTGGGAAGCTGTGGAGGAAAGTCTTTCCAAAGTCCAGAAACCCTTGAGCTGACATTATGCATATGGTGGAAGGTTACAAGGATGGGAACCCTTTTCTGAGGAAACTCCCTAATTGGTCAACCAAAGCAAAGACCACCAGTAGCAGGCGGCCAAAGAACAGAAAAGGAAAGTACTCGCCATTGATGTGTTAAAATTTCCAGAAAAGTCTTCCCACAGCAGTGCTATTTTGAGAACAAAAGGATTAGAAGAGTAGCCTCGGTATCATCTATAGGATCTCCTTTATTTGCCCAGTTTGCTCAAGGTCAACAACAGATTATCAACAGATTATCAACAGATTAAGACTGGAACCCAAATTCTGTTATATCTTTCCATTTTGTCACACCAACACTCCTATTTGCTCCTTGTTTTGGTTGTTGAAGTATGTTCCCTCAAAGTTCATACGTTGAAGTTCTAACTCCCCAGTAACAGAAAAAATGTGACTTTATTTAGAAATAAGGTCGTTGCAGATGTAATTAGTTGCTGAAGGAGAGTGGATCTCTAACCCAATATGACCCATGTTCTTATTAAAAGGGGAATTTTGGAGCTGGATGGGCGCGCGGGGAGTGTGACATGTTGACAAAGGCAGAGAGCAAGAGGATGCACCTATAAGTCAAGGAATGTCAAAGACTGCCAATAAACCACCATAAGCTGGAGAGAAGCATGAAACAGATTCTCCCTCCCAGCCCTCAGGAGGAACCAACACCTCGATCTCGGACTTCTGGTCTCTGGAACTTTGAGACAATACATTTCTGCTGTTTAAGGGGAAAAAAAAGTAGATAGAATTTAGCTGATCTGCACGCATATAAAAATTAGTTTTTCTTTGCTTACATTTTGATGGGTTAATAATTCACCATCACTAGAAAATTTTCACTTTTATTGTAAAATGTTTTACTAAGATTTAATATTTAGCTTAGGTATTTGACAGGCAACTGTTCTTGTGTGTGGCAAAGACATGCTTGCTATGTGCTTGTCAAAGTGATTTTTTTTTTTTCTGGGCACACACATAAGACCACATTTCCTGACCCCTTTGCAGTTGAGTTAGACCATGTGACTGATTTCTGCCAGCACGGATCGTGGGTCGGAGGGACGCAAACCCTTCCAGGCCTGGCTGAAACTTCTTTCAATAGCTGCCCTTTTCCTCTGGCCAGCCAGGCACACAGGATTTAGAGAAGGCTCTGTGAGGAGTCTGGGGCCTGCTGAGAGGCTACATAAGAGCATGGGTCCCTAAGCCACCACTTTGAAGAGAAACCCAAGATTGCCATTAAGGTGGGGAACCATCTGAAGAGAGATGAGAAGGCAGACCAAGTGAGCTCACAACGTGCTTTCCTTGCATCATGGCCCTCAGGTTTCGGAGTTTGATTCCATGGTGTAGCCTATCTTGTCCTAAGATGCCTGGTACACGTAATTATGAGCTTAATGATCAGCTTCAATTTCTATTCCCTTATGTCCAACATTCAGGCTGTAAATGACTTTTCTGGCCACTCATTTATTCAACAGATATTCACTTAGAGGCTACTGTGTGCCAAGCACTGCCAATGGTGAGCAAAAAAACACACGCCTTACATGCAATCATGAAATTTAGTCTTGTGAGGTAGGGACATAAATCAATGCTCAAACATATGTAAAATTCTAGCTGTTGTGGGTGAGGTGAATGTTAGAAACCTGGTTCTATAAGGGGTGGATTTTTTTCCCTAGTTAGGAATAACTGTTGAGTGCTTTGACATGTAATTAGCATCTAAGTAAAAATGATTTTTTTAAATTTTTTTTTTAAATTTATTTATGATAGTCACACACACACACACAGAGAGAGGCAGAGACACAGGCAGAGGGAGAAGCAGGCTCCATGCACCAGGAGCCCGACGTGGGATTCGATCCAGGGTCTCCAGGATCCCGCCCTGGGCCAAAGGCAGGCGCCAAACCGCTGCGCCACCCAGGGATCCCAAAAATGATTTTAAAATATAAGTTTGGTTGTGATGAAGCAAAATATAACAAAATCTGGATACAACTAAGATTCATACGGTTTTATCGTTAAATCTTTTCATTTAATAGTTTTAACTACTGAATGGCATTTGCTCCATGTTATAGGCATCTAAACTTTTAAAATGCATATATTGTGATGAATGTGAAATTCTTTAATCGGTTGTTAGCTCCTCAGAGACTTGCAAACAGTCTTTTACTCCTTTTTTAAAATCATAGTGTGTTACTTTTCTATATTCCTGTACCAGAGTTTTACACTGAAGGCCTCATTCAATAAAAGCTAGATCACATCATATCACTAAATACCTTCTTGAATTAGAACTTGTCATTCTGGTAACCATTTTAGCCTTCCAAATTTTTCTCTGCTTACCGAATAAACAATGGTTTCAGTAAGCTTACACACAGGATGAAAGATTTTTTTTTTAGGTTTGCATTGAGTCCCTTTGTTTTTCCATTCTCAGATACTGATACATATATATTGATAAACACATGCATATACTTTCTCAAACATGTTTTATATACATACACAATGCATCTATATCTACACATTCTTCACTTTTGTTTGAAAACTTGATTCTCATTTTTGGACGATGAAAATCATCACACAAATGGCATTACAAATGTGGAAAAAAGATAAGGTATTTATTTGTGCAGCTTGTACAAAAAATATCAGTTATTATTTTCACATAGTGGACACTTCAGGCATTTTCAAAATGGATATCCAGACCATGCTCTGCCACCAAGATACATAACAGAAATGAACTGAGGACTAAAAAAAAAAAAAAAAAAAAAAAAAAGAAAGAAAAGAAATTCTTTAACTTATCAGTTGTTAGCTCCTCAGGAAATTTTGCTAATTTCCATTTTAGAGAAATTATAGGATTTTATTATTTATAAAGTTTATTTAAGTAATCTCTACACCCAAAGTGGGGCCCCCCAACCCAGATATCAAAAGTCTCATTACTCTACCCACTGAGCCAGCCAGGTGACCCTAGAGAAACGACAGGATTTTAAAGCTGCCGGTGCCCTAGGAATTTAATATAAACATCCCCGGTCAGGAAACTAAAGCCCAAAACAGTAAAGTTTGTTCACGACACGTAATTCAGTTCTGATCCCAGACCTAGACCCCAGATGGTCCTAAATCAGGTGCAGCTTTCTCTGCATCACAGTTTTCGTTTTGCAACCGAAGGTCAGGCTGGATTAGTTCTTCCCACTGCGCTTCCTCCAACGGTCAGTTTCATGGGGTGAGTCTAATGAAGATCTGAGTTGGCTTCTGCCCTCTCGGGTTATTTGTGTTTTTGCTGTTCTTAGTTTTTTTTTGTCATCAACATCGCTGAGCTTCTGTTTTATTTAAAAGACACGCTCTGAGTAACATGGATGAGGGGGTTACCCCCTCCCCAGACACCCCTCCCCCCGCAAACCGAAGGCTCAGGACCCAGGAGACAGACCCTTCCCAACCCCGCAGCAGGGAAAACGACAAGTTGGGAGACGCGGTCTCGTCCAGGGTCCCAGGGCCACGTGCGAGGGGAGGGGCCGCCTCCTGGTTGGCGCCCCGAGGGGCTCCGTGCGTCCAATCGGCTTCGGCCCCGCGGCGGCGGAGGGGGCGGGGCCAGCGGCCTGTCCGTCACCGAGCCCACGGGCGGCAGCACCTACCACACCGCTGTACCTTGGCGGGGGCGGGGCGGGGCGGGGCGGGGCGGGCAGGCCGCGGCCGCGGGGGGCGGGGCCGGGCCGGCGGAAGCCAATCCGCGGGGCGGCGCGAGGGGGCGGGGGTGGGGCCGCCCCGCCCGCCCGCGACCCAAACACCCGAGTCCGGGTGCACTTTGGAGCCGCGCTGCTCCTCGGCCTTCCGGTGCGAGCCGGGGCGCCTCCTCCCCTGCCGGGCACCCCCACCCCCGGGGCCCACAACCCCCCGCCCCCCGCGCCCCTCCTTCGCAGGGGGGAGTGCGGCGACGGTTGCCGGGAAGCGCGCGCCGCCCCTCCCTCCCTCCCTCCCTCCCTCCCTCCTCCGTCCTCCCCTCACGCGCCGCCCGTTTTTTTTTTTTTTTTTTTTTTTTTTTCCCTCTTTCCTCCGTTAATACCAGCTGGGTGGCTGGGGGGAGGAGGGAAGGTGGCCCCGGCGGAGTCTGGGCGGGCGCCTCCCCCTCAGCCGCGAGCCGCCGCCGTGTGAGCCGGAGGATGGCGGCGGTGGCTGCGGCCGCCCGGGAGGAGGCGGTACCCAGGCCCGGAGCGCAGAGCGCGGCGACGGCGGCAGAGAGCGGCAGCGGCCCGTCGCGGCGCCTCAGAACCGAAACCGGCGGCCGCCGCAGCGCCACCTGAGCCGGCCGCGGCGCGACCTCCTTCCTGCCCTCGCCTCCCCTCCGCGGCCTCCGGCGGGGCGGGCCGCCCCCACCCCCGCCCCCGCCCCCGCCCCCGCCCCGCGAGCCCGGGAGCCCGGGAGCGCGCCGGGCGCCGACCGCCCTTCGGGGCTCCGGGCGGCGGCCCTGGACGTGCGGGCTGGTGGCAGCGCCGGCCGCGGCGCCTCGGCCCTGCCCGCTCGCTCCCGCCCTCGCGGCCCGGGGCAGGGCGGACATGGGCGCCAAGCAGAGCGGCCCGGCCGCCGCTAACGGCCGCACCCGCGCCTACTCGGGCTCGGATCTACCTTCCAGCAGCGGCGGAGGGACCAACGGGACGGCGGGCGGCGGCGGCGGCGGCGGCGGCGGCGGCGGCGCGCGGGCCGCGGCGAGGTTTCCGGCTCAGGTGCCGGGCGCGCACCAGCCCAGCGGCTCGGGCGGCGCCGCGGCGGCCTCGGCGGCCCCGCGCAGCCGCTCCCTCGGCGGGGCCGTGGGGAGCGTGGCGGTGGCGGCGGCGGCCCGCGCGGCGCAGTCGTCCTTCAGCATCCCCAACAGCAGCAGCGGCCCGTACGGCTCGCAGGACTCGGTGCACAGCAGCCCCGAGGGCGGCGGCGGCGGCGGCGGCGGCGGCGGCGGCGGCGGCGGCAGGGACCGGCCGGCGGGCGGGGGCCCCGGCGGGCCGCGCCTGGTGATCGGCTCCTTACCGGCTCACCTCTCGCCGCACATGTTCGGAGGTACGCCCGGCTCTCCGCGCCTCTCCCTGCACGTGGGCCGCGGCCGCGCCGCTGCACCCCTCCCCTCAGCCGCGCGGCCCGGCTCGCCCACCGCCCTGGGAGGAGGAGGAGGGCGGGTGGGGGGCGGGGGTGCGGCTGGGGGGGGGGGACGGAGGGGGGTCGCCGCGTAGCCCCGGCCGCGCCGCCCCCTCCCTGGGCGCCGGTTGTGCGACCCCGACCCCGGGGGTGCCCCAGCACGGGAAGCCCTGCGTCCCCTCCCCCCCCCCCCCGGGGTGAATGGAGCAAAGGTCGTTTCTCCAGCAAACCGATGCGCCAGCCCTCGTGCTTTTGTCGCTTTGAGGATCGGGAAGTCGGGGGAAGACCGGCTGTTGCCTAACGTAGTTCTCTCTAACTGGGGACACGAGCGGTGAGCTTTTTTTTTTAAAAAAAAAGAAAAGAAAAGAAAAGAAAAAAAAAAAAAGGCCCGAGAGTCCGAGCGTGTGGAAGGAACGTAGGCGTATCTGAGAGAGGAGGGAGTCCGCCTGCTCACGTACGGCCGCGGCCCCCGAGCCTCTGTAAACAGCCCCGCCTACCGCGTACGGCTGGATCGGCCGCGCGTGCGGTGGGGGACGCGGGTTTGACCCCGGCCGGCGGCTGCTCTAGGTAACGGCGAACGCGAGCTCCGATTCGTTTGGACCGGGGCGTCTTAAAAATCGGAAGCAGTTTCTCCAAGAGAAGCCCGATGACCAGAACTCCGCCTAAAAGACGCGGTGAAAAGCATAGGCGCTTTTACTGGAAAGCAGTGCTGACTAGGAAGGAGCTGAGGAAAAGTCACTTTGTGGTAACTGGGAATTTTCAACGGCAAAACGATGAGCTTCTGTGTGGGAACAGGAAGGGTGCACTTGATCAGAGGAAACTGAATCTGGCCTCGTGAGTCCTGTTCTATAGTGATTTACTCTGCCTTAAAAACGGTTAGCGTCGTAAACGAATCAAGACACCCCCCCTCCCTTCCCAGTTGGTGAGGAGAAATTGGAAGTTTGATCTGGATCTGGTCGGGGGTGCTGACTACATACAGTTGTAGATGAACATCCCCCTATCATTGCATTATGTACCGTGATCTTACATGGATTCACAAGTGAGCACAGCCGGAGCAGTGAGAAAAGCATTCCCTCCATTTTTGTAGCCCTTTTTTTTTTCCCCACAGAGGTGGGAAATTTGAGTTGGTCAAGTGGAATGTTCAGTAATCTGTCTGTTCTCATGTTCTGTACTTTGAGTATTCACGATAGCAAGTAGAAAATGGGAATGTCAGGTTTCGTTTTTTTCATGTCATTTATGCTGCTTTGCACATTCAATCTAGAACAACTCTTTACTTGAATTACTTGTTATAATTTTGTTATGAAAATAGAAATATCGGCACTCCTAAAATTGCGCCATTAAAAACCATCTTTCATTTTTGAGAAAAAGAACTGGTGCTGTTCTTACTGTGATTGGAGCATGATTAATGCAGTTGAAGGTTGGTTTGATCTTAACACAGCTGTAGTCAGTCACTACACTGAGGAATAGCAAAAGTCAGTTTCTTGAGATTGGAAGATTAGTGCAGGAATAAAGGATAAGCTGGTTTTTAAAAATATCTTTTTAAAGTGAAAATTTGCATTTAACAGTTATGATCATCAAAAGGTATATTTAAAAGCTTGCTAAAGGAATAAGAAAGCTTGTCAAATTATTATCTTATTTCTTTAATATACTGATTACTATATTTTTCCTAATTGGCTGATAATTACCCTTAACAAAGAGTTAGTATATCTGTACGGATTTATTTTCTGAAAATAAATACCTTCCATTCAGAGTGGGGTGTGGGCTGGGCAAATAGTTGATAATTCCTGCTATTCATGGTAAATTAGCAAATGAAAAAGACCTAGTTCGTAAAAGTAGAAGTAAAGTAAACTTATCCTTTTTTTTTTTTTTTTTTTAAATTTAAGTTCCTAATTTTGTGCACTTAGTTCATTTTGTACTTTCAGAGTTAGGATGATTGGAGCTAATAGTACAGTGACACTGTAGAACTTGTGGCAGCCTTTCCTAACCAGGTCTCTGTAGAGAATAGAGCCCTTAATGTCCTAAGGCATCTATTGTATGCAGCTAATTAACTTTTTTCTCCTTTGCATTTAGAATGATTCTAGGTATGTGTCATTCTTCTGAAATTTGAGAAAACAGTCAAATACTCTGTGTTTGGTAGTTCAGATGAGGAACTCCAGTTTGAGAGAGCCTGGAAGGGGTTCAGAGAAATTACCTATTCCCATTGTATGATAAGAACAAATCAATATGCAGGTACCTTAAATCCTAGTTGACACAGGGAGATGGAATACTCTTAATGTAAAAACGCATCTTCCTACAGGCATATGCTTTCATGAGATTTTTACTTCTATTTCAATGGGTAGGTTTATCAGGGAAACTTAATAGACAAATACTTCTCATCCAGAGATTTAGGAAGCCAGCTGATGAATCTTTTTTTTTTTTTTAAAGATTTATTTATTTATGATAGACAGAGAGAGAGAGAGAGAGAGAGAGAGAGAGAGAGAGAGAGAGGCAGAGACACAGGAGGAGGGAGAAGCAGGCTCCATGCAGGAGCCTGATGTGGGACTCGATCCCAAGTCTCCAGGATCACACCCTGGGCTGCAGGCAGCACTAAACCGCTGCACCACTGGGGCTGCCCTGAATCTTTATTTTCAAATGATGAAACCTTATTTTAAAAAATTAAGCTTGATTATACTTCCCATTGACTTAATTTCTTAGTACGTATTTATGGTATTAATGTATTTAGTTATAAATTGTATAAATGTTTGGGCATATATAAAGTAATTCCCTCTGAAAATTGAGAAAAGGAATTATTTCCAAATTAGTGGGATGTTTTGCTGTAATTTTGTAAGACTTCTTTTAATTGATATTTGTGTTACTTTGTACTAAGAAAATATGGTACTAATAAGATTCAAAATTGTTCTTCTCTTTTGGGCCTGTCATGTAATTTATAGAAAAGGAAAACCTAAACAGCATACCTCTCTCTCTTTCACAGTAGCCTAGCAAGGTGAATTGTTACTAGTTTCATGATAATGAATTACCAAATTGATTGAGGTTTTCTGTGCTGGTTTTGAGTATATTTTAGCTGTATATATTATTATTCAGTTCTCTGGAGAGAACCAGAAGAGAGGTGCTTAATCCTGATATTTTAGTGTACAGAAATTTCCTAGAAATGAAGGATTTTTCTTATTTTTGTTCTTTCAGACCGCTGAGTCTAATACTATTAAAGTGAACAAACGCCTTCTCTTTGTTTTAAAACAGGCCTTTGGTAATACATAGGCTACTATTTAAAAGCCTTGGTGGTATTTTAGGATTTGGGGGCCTTTATTTTATGTCTACATTTTGTCCACTATCAAGTTGCTAATGTTCATAAAATCAGTTATTATGGGTGGATTCTTTAATGGTCCAGCAAGGATGGGGAAGGTAAATTGGGCTATGAAAATATACCAGTGAATGGAGATTGCATCTACAGAAATCATGTGGGCTTCTCTTATAACCAGTCCATGGTTATAAGAAGTGAAAATGTAGAATGAATTGATCTAGACAAGTAACTGGTGGTACTGGATTGCTCTTGGCCTTCTCCTAATTGGCTTGAGTTTGTTTGGGTCTGGTGTGTCCTTGAGTGTTTCAGTAGGCTAATTCAGGCGCCTCCTGTTACTTAAGAAACATGCTTCCTTATGTTGAAGGAGTGTGGCTTATCTCTTAAAACGGAATGTTTTAAATTAAATCTGTATTTCTAGATAGGTTTATTTCTCTGAATTTTCAAGAAAGATGCAGGTTTTGAAGGTAGTGCATTTTCTCCGTTGTTTCTGAATTATTCTCGGTCATTACTTTTTTTACCAGTACTTAGTGCCAAAATGTTTGAATTTGGGATATTGTGATTAATCTACTTCCTGTTTCTGAATTTTCTTTTATTCAATTGAAAACCTTTATGCAGTGTGGCAGAAGAGAAATCTGCTGCTTCCTAAGAAAAGTTAACACTTCTAAACACTACCCCTATCCCTGCCGGAAAGAACAAGAACTCTGGTGGCTAATGTTTCTCACCTGTAATACCACATATCTTAAAAACACTATAGGAGATATCTAATGTTGTATGCTTTGTTAGGGTAAAGCGTGGACTGTGTCCTGGAAGTTTCTGCTTTGGGAATATTTTGAAATGGTCTTTTCTCCCCCCCCCCTCCCTCCAGCTTTATTTTTTGATCTTTTATTTTCCCTGAAAATTCTCTTGTCTGTAGGGTAGAAAGTGGGCTGGAGGAAGGAATGGTTTGTGTTGCACAGGGCATCATCTGATATGAAAGGTGCCTGACCTAAGTACTTATGATGCTTTGCTAATTGCAAAGCCAGTCATCATACTAAAGATAGTGCCTCCAGCAAGCCCCCAGCCCCTTCCAGTTTGATTGCTTTGCCCGGTAACCAGTTACCAATACTGTTAATTAGATACCAGCTTTTAAAATATTTACTTTTTATTCTGTGTTTATAAGGAGAATTGCCTTAATGTTATACTTACTGCAGATCCTGGGTATATTAGCAAATGGGTTAAAAGAAAGAAGTATAGGAACAGTTTTATGTAGCAAAGTACTTCTTTTTTTTCTTTTTTTAAGCAAAGTACTTCTTAAATGTTTTAACTGTGCGCGCATTTGGTATTAACTAATGAATTAAGTTCTGTCCTTGTTTAAGTGCTTAGAAATTGGGGAAAACATGTCTTTTGTGTAAACAGCAAAGGGTTCAGAAATATCTTAGGTTCTGATTATATAAGTTTTCTATGCTGCTTATTAGAGATTGTTAAAAATTTTGCTGTCCAAAACAACACATTTATTATTTCAGTTTCTGTGGGTGAGGAGTCTGGGTTCAGTTTAACTTAGGTCTTCTGCAAGATTGCAGTAGAGGTGTGCCAGGACTGGGCTGCTATTTCACGACTCACCTGGGGAAGGGTCTGCTTTTAAGTCCTC